ACATTTTTAATTGTTCATTATTATATACAGTTCATTTTATTGTATTTCCATAAAAACGCAAAATATAGAAAAATCCATTTGGGGATATTCTTTCGAAATATATAATCTAAAAGGAAATAGGGTCATTTTTTTCTTTTTGAAGAAATGGGGTCGTAGAAGTTTTATTTTTACTGAATAGAGACTACGTGTGCAAAGTATTATGTATCTTTGGGAAATTTTTGGAACTATACGGATATCTGTGTAAGTGTCCACAATAAGTATTTAATCTTTAAGCCGTAAAAAATTGACCAATCAGAGTCGATTATTCTTTTCATATTCGATTATAATTGGTCAATTTCTTATTTCTTAAAGCTTAAATCACTTATTGTGGATCGACACTTTTACTTTTGCAAAGGATCAAGACGTGGGAACCCCTGCTCTATAAAGAGATCCAAACAGGAGCTCGTCTTGAAATATGTCTAAGATTCCCGGGGGTGACGTCGTTGCACTTAAAGTAATATCACATCCGATAACATCAATGGATGAGCATTCATGTAGCTGTGAAGAGGTTCATCCCTTGAACGAGCGAAACGAAAACTGACGTCGAGGTCGTAGACGTAGACTATTTTTGCGCGTGTTGTAAATAGCGTTTGCCTTGCGACAATATTTATTTTGACGATATGCATTATATTCGTGCAACCCTAAGTGATTTTTATCTCGAGAGCGAAATTCGCGATAGAATTCGGAACGAATTTCTATTTATAATTTCATGTCGCGTGTTTTTTGTATGCATGCGCAGCCCTGGTTCTTCAGGTCAATTATCCAACGTATATTACACGACACATGAAATTATAAATAGAATTCTGTCCCAAATTCTGTCGTGAATTATAAACGTCCTAAAATGAACGTAAGCCGGTTTTAGACATTTCGTTTCGGTTCTACATTTCGTGATAGAATAATTTCATAATTTTGTATGGGGCACGATAATGCGTGCGTCATTTGTTTCGGTATAGCTCGTGATAGATTTTATTATTTATCAAGGCATTATATATTTTTTATTTTATAAGGCAAATATACATTTCAATAAATATATATATATATATATAAATATATAACTAAAAAAGTAAATATAATTGCATTACAATTTGCATATTATCTTTTAAGGCAACTATATATCTTCTTTAATCGTAATAAAATAAAATAGTCAATCGATTGATTCATTTTACTACTCTGTCCATAAAAATGTTAAGACAAAGGTAATAAAAATATGAATGTTTTTTATCAAATAGTGTATATTTTATTTTATATTTATGTCAAAATATGTGAAAATAAAAAATAATATTTCTAAACTAACAATTTTTAAAAACAACTTTATAATAATTCTTTATAAAAGAGATAAAATTACATTAATTAAAAAATCCAAAATATGGACTTTTATTTGCAAAAAATAGCGAGTGATTTTTTGTACGACCTTAGCGCTTCTATCTAGAGATAAATTTTTTTAATAAAAGCGTTAATAAAAGCATTCTCCTGGGAACCGTATAACGTAAATAACATTTTCTCTTATTATTTCAGACC